AAGCAGGGATAGGGGATCTGTGGCTCTTCAGATGTTGTTGAGCTCCATCTCCCACCAGTCCCAAACAGCATGGGCAGCGATCAGGAACAATTCCCCATCCTTTATTGACAAAGGTACAGGCTGAGGAAAAGGGGGGACTAAGAGGTCCTTCCTCCACGGGAGAGGGAGGGGGGCCCACAGAGGTCTTCCTTGGCACTTACAGGGTCCCTTGCCTCCCACCCACCCACCCACCCCAAAAAAATGCATTGAATGAAGCATTCTATTGCAGCCAATGGAACAGCTTTCAGTGAGTGCCTAGTTGCAGTACGGGTGTGTGAGAGAGAGTTAGAGAGATCCCACCTTTCAAGGTTATGCCATTTTAGCTAAGGACTGATAAAGCCTGTCAATTTCAGCTTCTCTCAGGGTCTCATTTTTACAATATTAAATTCAGTTCGACAGGTTTCCACATCAGGTAGGGCTGCAATACTTCAAAAAGTAAAAGCCAGGATACCCCGAAAGTTGTTCAGCTTTTTTTTTAGACTAACCCTGAAGTTGTAGGGGTTTTTTGTTTTTTTTTAACAAAAACACAGAAACCTCATGATTTTTCGATTGACTTGCCTAAGATCCAGGGCAAAGTGCCTCCTTTTGGAAATCCTCCCCCCTCCCCGACATCAATTCAGCCTTTGAAATCCCGGTAATCAGGAAGACCCAGCTGCACAAATACAAGATGAGAGACACCTGGCTTACCAGTAGTGCATGTGAAAAGGATAATAGGGGTCTTAGTGGACCACAAGCTTCGCGTGAGTCAGCAGAGTGATGCAGCAACAAACAAAATTGAATGCAATTCTAGGCTGCATCAATAGAAGTATAGTGTCCTGATCAAGGGAAGTAATAGTTGGCGTAGAGCACCACAAAATTCAGATAAGTGCAAATGCCGGCAGGACAGCTGTTTCCCATTCTGGATTGTTGCAGGAAGTGCAACTTAAAGGTAAAGGTAAAGGGATCCCTGACCATTAGGTCCAGTTGTGGCCGACTCTGGGGTTGTGGCGCTCATCTCGCTTTACTGGCTGAGGGAGCCAGCATACAGCTTCTGGGTCATGTGGCCAGCATGACTAAGCCGCTTCTGGCAAACCAGAGCAGAGCACGGAAACGCTGTTTACCTTCCCGCCGGAGTGGTACCTATTTATCTACTTGCACTTTGACGTGCTTTCGAACTGCTAGGTTGGCAGGAGCAGGGACCGAGCAACGGGAGCTCACCCCGTCGCTGGGATTCGAACTGCCGACCTTCTAATTGGCAAGGACTAGGCTCTGTGGTTTAACCCACAGCGCCACCCGTGTCCCTAAGTGCAAATTAGTTTCACATAAAAATAAGAACCTAACCAATTTGCTTCCCAGTCCTTCTCAACTCCCAACTCTTTCTCCATCTGTTGCTTTATCCAATCTGTTCTCACTCACACCCACCTTACATTTTACACCTGTCCCCTTCCTGGGGAGGTCACCTTCTCCAAGCTCTGATGGCTATAGAACTGCAACAGGGAGGTTCCTCATCTGTGAGGCAACTATCTCATAATAACACCTTGATGAACCAACTGACTATGCTGGACAATCAACCAGCAAACGTGCCTAACAAAGGAGGTGAGACAAGACCTCTCACAACAAAGGGAAGTTTCCAAAATTCCATCCTATTCTCTCAACATCCTAGTCCTGCTTGGGCATTTATCATACTCACCAACATCTCTCCGATGAAAATAGGGACATCCCCTTCCATAATGATAACTTTACTATTTATACCCCACACATCTTATTGGGTTGCCCCAGCACTCTGGGCAGCTTCCAACATACAGTGGTACCTCTGCTTATGAACTTAATTTGTTCCGGTGGTCCGTTCTTAACCTGAAACCGTTCTTAATCAGAGGTACCACTTTAGCTAATGGGGCCTCCCACTGCCACCACACCGCCGCCACGCGATTTCTGTTCTCATCCTGAGGTAAAGTTCTTAACCCAAGGTACTACTTCCGGGTTAGCAGAGTCTGTAACCCGAAGTGTTTGTAACCTGAGGTGTTTGTAACCCGAGGTACCACTGTATATAAAAGCATAATAAAACATTAAACATTTTTTTAAAAAACAAAACAACAACAACAACAAAAACACTTCCCAATACAGAATTGCCTTCAGACAGCTTGGGGATCGGATAACTCCATACCCTCCAACATTTTTCCAGTGAAAATAGGGACATCCTAAGGAAAAGTGGAACATTCCAGGATCAAATCAGAAACCAGGATGGCTTCTCTAAATCAGGGATATCCGTGGAGAATAGGGACACTTGGAGGGTCTGATTTATACTCATGCATATTGCTGGTTCTGCCCATCTCATGCGTACAGTGGTACCTCGGGTTGAGAACTTAATTTGTTCTGGAGGTCCGTACTTAACCTGAAACTGTTCTTAACCTGAAGCACCACTTCAGCTAATGGGGCCTCCTGCTGCCGCGCTGCCGGAGCACGATTTCTGTTCTCATCCTGAAGCAAAGTTCTTAACCCGAGGTACTATTTCTGGGTTAGCGGAGTCTGTAACCTGAAGCGTCTGTAACCCGAGGTACCACTGTATTGACTCCTTACTTAATTTAGTACCCTGCAGCAGTGCTATTTTCCTAGAAAACGATATGGCAATGGCACTCACCTGAGAGATGCCGGAACTGAGTCCTGGCTGGGGAAAAACAACCCTGCCCTGCGCAATCAAGGCCCTTCTGCGGCCTCCAGCAACTAGTAAGGAGGAAGACAGACTAAAAATGCTTGAGCTGCTCCTCATTTGCCCAAATGCACTAGCCAGTACTGCTTAGAACTGTTAGGAAAAGATGGAGTGGGCTTCTGAACAACACACAGCGGCTGCCCCCAGGCTTAGTTTCTCCTATATAACTGAAATGCTGCTGTGTATTTTCTTTGGGGGAAAGTCGAGGGAGCTGCATTTGGGTAATAATAATAATAATAATATTAATAATAATAATAAATTTATACCCCACCCCATCTGGCTGGGTTTCCCCAGCCACTCTGGACGGCTTCCAACAAAAGATAAAAAATACATTAAAGCACCAGTCATTAAAGAGAAAAGTTGCAGCGGGTCAAAAACCTGCCCTGTTCCTTGTTTATTTGTTTATTTAAAACCTGTACGTCGTCTTTCCACTTATTTCATTAACCAAAAGAGCATTCTTAAAAAGCACTGAGCAACAGATGAAATAAAAGCATGCCAATACACAGTCATGAAAGCAAACATGTAGCATTAAAATCCATTCCAGCTGTCATCAAACCAAAGTAAGAAGAACAAAGTGAGCAAACTAGGCACAGTAGCAGAAAAGACTCTATTCCCAGTTGCCTGCCCGGAAAATTACCTCTGATCTTGGAGGTAGCATGTAACAGCTTGGAATCAATTTAGTTGAAGGATCGCCTTTCTCCATACATGCCCACTCAACCACTTTGATCAGCAGAACTGGCACTTTTGCCAGCGGCACATACTGTCTGTTCCATACTTGGAAGGGATCCATCTTCCAGGATGGCAGCCCCTAAACTTTGTAACTCCCTGCCCATTGATAACGGACTTTTTCTATATTATTTTTGGTGCCCGACAACAAAACTTAGGCTAACTTTTTTTAAGTCTGCTTTTATTTGTTGTTTTAATGTATATGTTATGTTTAACGTTAACACTTTAGAGGTCTGGATGATAAAACAGTATATGAATCCTGTTAAGCAAAGAAACAAAGAATCTTCATTGCCAAAAGATGGTCTTATTCTCCATTCATTTGTCTAATCCCCCTTTAAAGCTATCCAGCTCGGAGGTCATCCCTGCTTCTTGTGGCAGTGAGTTCCACTGTTTAACTAGGCTGTTCCACTGTTTAGTTTTCCTTCATCCATCCTGTATAAAAATGCATTATATCAGGAAATGCTTTATATCGGTGGGGGGGGGAGACACTTTGCAAAGCTGTGTTTGGTAGGCAGAATTGCATTTAAAAATGCATGTAGTAAGAGAAATCTGCCCTAAAATGCTTACGAATTTCCATGAGGACTCTTGATGTGTAAATGTGGAGAACTGAACTGCAGGCTACAAATATGAGAAAGCATGTTCTCCTTCATGGAGAGCACGGGTTGCGGTGGGGTTAACCAGACACCCCTCTGTTCCTAGGCGAGTTAGTTTGGATGACCACCATTGTGATTGGGCTCCTCTGGTTGCTGGGGGGAGTTGGATCTTGCCAATTTTGATTGACAGCCTTAGTTTATATATTCCCTGTGCTCAGCGTTGAGCTTCCTCTTTTCGCTGTGCGCATCGGCTCACCCGTTCACCCTCCCTAATTTTAGGGCATTTTTTGCGTTTGACCTTGCTATGCCTGTCACGGGGTCGTCTGCCTTGGGGGCAGGGGCCTGGTAGGAATTTTGTCCATTTTGCTGATTGGCTGGTGCCATTCGGTTTTTGCCTACTGCGTAGCAAATTGTCACAACTTGTAAGGTTGCGGTTAGGCATTGGTTAAAAAATTGGTAGGTGGAGGGGCAAGGATTGGCTGTGCCTGCCCCTCCAATGCTGCTGCTGCAAGGGAATTCCGTTAAAGGAATCCAGGGGCTCACCATGCTTTTGTCCGCACCCCTGTCAAGGGGGCTAGGGCCACGCAAGAGCCCCTGGGAGCATTTGGGGAGAGGTGAGCTCCATTTACTCCCCATAAAATGTTTTCCCTTACTGACTTCGCAAGCTTGCGGATGTCAGTTCTGTCCCTGGGCAGGGACAGATAGTCGCAACCAATGCCTAAGCAACCACTCACATTTTGTATTTTAATAAAGTCGTGGCCAAAATTATGCCAAAAACCTTAAACAAAATTACGGTGTGAAGTGTGAATTTATTAGGGGTGGCTTGGGACCTCGACACGCAAGCTGAAATTGTCAGATTCTCCCATCATTAATCTAGAGAACATTCAAATGGTCTCTCCCAAGCCTATGTTTTTAACATTTCAACTCAGGTTCCAACACGCTGCATTCTACTTCTCCCTCCTGTGGCACAATGGGTCAATGTGCCTTGCTGTTAACCAGAAGGTCGGGGGTTTGAACCCACTCAGGGATGGCTGTGGGCGGGATTTTTGCATTGCAGGGTGGTAGGACAAGAAAACCCTTGGGTTCCTTCCAGTTCTATGATTCTATGTATAAATCACCTCTTCCCTGTCTGGAGAAACTGGGTCTTTGGGCATGTGTGTATGCCCTCTTTATATGGATTTAAGGTTTTGAGCTTGCAAAGATTCAAATAAAAAGTCAGGGTGGGGGGTGGAATGGGGGAAGGGTGTGTTTTGTGTGTGCATGCGAACGAGGCGATGGGGAGATACCACTTTGGAAAGCGACATGGTCGTCAAGGCGTGTCGAGGTCAGGATTAGCGGCTGCCAGCTTTTCAAGTTGGGCTTTCTGTGCCAGCCAGCTCCCCTCTCCTGCTGGGAAGGACGAGGACAGAGGGGCAAAGGGGAGGGTTCTGGCCAGCATCCAAGGCCTGTGGCTTCTGATGATAAGGAAATGGGGCGGAGGGAGGGAGATGCTGCTCAGCTGCCACTGGAACAGAGGCCAGAAGCAAAGCTAGGCATATATAACCAATTTGGTGCCAGCCTGGAGTTACAGCAACAAAATGAAGGGGGTGCGAGGGGGAGGGGGGTACGTGATCCTTTTCCAAAAGCAAAGTAAGAGCTCTGAGGATCCCCAGAGCAAATCTGCTCTTTTTCTTTCTCTTCCCTCACCCTGCCCAGCCGTGCTCCCTGAACTGCTTTGTTTTCTGCATCTGCATTTTGTCACGTGGGCTGAGATTTACCGCCACTTATTTGTGGTAGAGCTGCTGCCCTTGAATGGCAAAGCTGGGGTTCAACAGGTCCCCCTCTCCTAACATCGATCATACCCTCCAACATTTCCCCAATGAAAGTACGGACATCTTATTCTATTATAATAATAATTTTATTATTTATAACACAACCGTCTGACTTGGTTGCCCCAGCCACCCTGGGCAGACTCTGTTATGTACTGATGTTCTCACCCTGGGCCAGCAGGGGGATACTGTAGATAGTTTTCACTCTGGTCCACATATGCAAGTTAGGAATTGAAAGTGACGTTCAGTGATTAGATAGTTACAGAAAGTTGTTACTGTTGTGTTGTAGTGGAGCTCCATATAAGCAGGCTGGCTGAACCCTTCAGTTCAGTTCAGTTCAGTTCTGAGTCTGTGAATAAACAAGAATTAACAGACTCATATATATATATATATATATATATATATATATATATATATATATACACACACACACACACACACACACACTCACACACATATACATATATACATAATAAAACTACACAGTGTTGCCTTCAGATGTCTTCTAAAGGTTGTATAGTTACTTATTTCCTTGGCTTGGGGGGTCACATAATTCCATACCCTCCAACATTTCTCCAATGAAAATAGGGACGTCGTAAGGGAAAGCGGGACATTCCAGGATCAAATCAAAAACTGGGATGACTCTGTAAATCTGGGACTGTCACTGGAAAATAGAAACATTTGGAGGGTCTGTGACACCAGTTCAAACTCTCCCAAAGAATCCCAGGAGCTGTAGTTTGTTAAGCTTGTTGAGAATTGTTAGGAGACCCCTGTTCCCGTCATAGAACTACAATTTCCCAGAGTTCTCTAGGAAAAGGAATTGATTGTTAGTCCAGTCAGGAATTGGAGTTGTGTGAGGGAATTAGGGGCCTCCTAAGAAGCTCTCACCACCCTTAACAAGCAACAGTTCCCAGAATTCTTTGGGGGAAGCCCTGACATTCCAGTATCAAATCAGAAACTGGAACGGCTTCTGTAAATCCAAGATTGTCCCTGATAAATAGGGACGCTTGGAGGGACTGCCATTCTGAATCCCTGAGGAGCTGCTCCCAGTCAGCGTCAGCCAATGACCTCTTGTGTCTTTCCAGGGCTGAAAATGCACCTATTTACCCTGGCGTTCGACACCTGAGATGTGTGCTTGCAGGACCCACCCTGTTCCTGTCATCTGTTTAAACTCCTTTTAATTCTGTGTTTTAGAAGAAGAAGAAGAAGAGTTTGGATTTGATATCCCGCTTTATCACTACCCGAAGGAGTCTCAAAGCGGCTAACATTCTCCTTTCCCTTCCTCCCCCACAACAAACACTCTGTGAGGTGAGTGGGGCTGAGAGACTTCAGAGAAGTGTGACTGGCCCAAGGTCACCCAGCAGCTGCATGTGGAGGAGCGGAGACGCGAACCCGGTTCCCCAGATTACGAGACTACCACTCTTAACCACTACACCACACTGGCTCTCTCTTTTAAATTGCTGTAAACCTCCATGTGACTTGCTGTGGAAAGGTGGGCAATATGTTTAATAATAATAATAGCATCAGCCTGTTTCATATCAGTGGTGCCTCTCTACAGGGGGAGCCGCAGCTTAGAGCTACAGCCAGACCTACCAAGTGTCCCTGTTTTCCAGGGACAGTCCCGGATTTACAGAAGCCGTCCCAGTTTCTGACTCGATCCCGGAATTTTCCACTTTCCCTCAGGACGTCCCTGTTTTCATGAGAGAAATGTTGGAGTGCCTGTCATTCCCAACCCTACCTGCAGATGCCAGCGAATGAACCTGGGGCCTTCTTCATGCAAATCATGTGCTCTCCCGCCAAGCCGCGGTCTCTGTGTGATGCGACATCTGCCTGCATCGGAAAACAAAGGCACGGTCGTTTCAGAACCGTTGCTTTTGCTCCAGTGCAGATGTCTGCAGGCTTAATTGACGTGTTTCAATTATATCAGTTAATAGGATCAATTGACAAAGCCAGTGACAGTCCTGGTAAATATTGGGAGCCATTCTTCCTAGCCCACGTGCAATCTCATTACAGGAACGAGCAACAGTAGAAAAGGCAATTGAGCTTCCCCTGTGCAAATTCCCATTAAAATATATAAACAACCCTTAACCATACATATGTAAGATCATACCCATAGCACTCTATAAGTTAATTAACCTGGAATAACTACTATCCTCTGCTTCAATCCACATAACCGCTAATGTAGATGAGAATCACCATAAGAACGCAAATTGAAAAGTGGGGCGGGGAAGGGAATGCACCCTATATTTTCCACCCCGATTGGGAGTGTGACAAGCTGCTTAAAGGGTGTTAAGGGGTAACTAATCTGCATTGCGTGATCTACTTGCATGTCCCCCCCCAACCTCCTTTCAGAAATATCCTTGCTGCAGCGCTCCACTAGTTAACCCTGATGGAAATTAATTCCCCACTAGTTTGTCAGTTGGCTTCACTCACACTTCATTTTGTTGGATCTAAATTGGATGATCCATCACCGCTCCAAAGAGACATGTTCCTTTCCCCGCCGTTAAGCAAAGCACAGAATAGAAGCGTCATTAAACTATAACTTATTCTGGGCTTTAAAAAGATCGCAGAGAGCATGAAAAGGGGCTCTCTGATCCGTGGAAAGGCAGCGTTCCCTAATGGTCACAGGAGGGATTTTCTGAGACGGGTCTCCTGGGGACCATCAGTAGCTCTGGAAGGGGAGCAGCCCCCCTGAGCTCTCGTAAAAGGATGCCAGAGGGAGAGAGAGATGGAGGAGAATTTATTTCAATCCGTATTTTAGTTCGCGGTTCGCGAGATCAGAACCGAGTTAACCATCAGGCGCTCTCTGGTTCATAAAACGAGGACCAAACCACACGTTTTGCAGAAAGATGCATAGTTTCAGGGGAAGTGCATAGGAAGGCATACAAAAGTGTGTTTTAAAAGGGGAATGGTTAGAAAATATAGATTTGGGGGGAAATATGGTTTTTTGTGAATGTGGTTTATTTTAAAATAAAAAATGCAGGAAAAGGGATGCGATAGATGTATGAGTGAACACGTGTGAAACTGACACAGAATGGAAAGAGGACTGTACCTCTGACATAAAGTATATATCTCTCATAAATAGCATACCCTTCAACATTTCTCTGATGAAAATCCTATATATAATAATAATAATAATAATAATAATAATAATAATAATAATAATATCACTATTTATACCCTACCCATCTGACTGTGTTGTCCTGGTCACTCTGGGCAGCTTCCAACATATATAAAAACATAATAAAACTTCCCTGACTGCCTTCAGATGGCAGTTTTCCATTGAAAACAGAGACATCCTACCATACCCTCCAACATTTCTCCGATGAAAATAGGGACGGCCTAAGGAAAAGCGGGAAATTCCGGAATCAAATCAGAAACTTGGATGGCTTCTGTAAATCCGGGACTGGAAAATACGGACACTTGGAGGGTTTGAAATAGGCCCCGGATTCAGTCCCTTGTATCTTTGCATAAAAGGCCTGGGAAGACCTCTGCCGGAGACTTTGCAGAGTCACAGCCCATCAGATGAGGTGGTACTGAGCCAGATTGACCAATGGGCTGATTCAGCACAAGACAGATTCATAGCATATGTAGCCAGGATCACTAGCTTAGATTACTTTTTTTAAAAGCATCAAAGGCAAATGCAAGACAGAGCAGTCTTCCCCAGTGGCTATTAGCATCCAAGAGCACAGCCTCTATGTTCAGAGGGAGTGTCCAACTAGAATATTAAAAACCCTCTGGATCAGCCCCACAAAGATAAACAGCTTTGTTTACTTGAGCCAAGCAAAAGACTAGAAGAGCAGAAGGGCATTTGGGATAGGGTTTGCTTGACCCGCTTTCAAAGCCAGCCTCTTTGCTTCATTTTGCACCCACAAGGATGCCTTTTCATTTTCCCTTTCTGAAACACAAGCTGAGATTCCGCACCCGATACCAGTACCACCTTCTGTGCTTGGGAGAAATTGTGGTGCGCAAGTGTGGCAACGAGGATCCTTGCTGCAAAGGGCGCTCTGCGAATGTCGTGCCGGAATCCAGGCTCTGGGCCCCATGATGGTGCGCACACAAACATCTTCACAGGCAGAGGGAGAATCTGCACTGCCCTCTGAAAACACAAGAAAGCTGCAAAGAGATGCCAGATTGTAAATTCTTCGCCTCCATCTCCTCCCCACCTAATCAATACCTGCTCTTTTTGCCAGAACGACTGAGCTAAAGGAAAGAATCGTAGCTAATGGAGGACAGCGCTTCAGAACTTGCCGCAAGGCCTTTTGATGGCTTGGCATCCGTTCAACCCTGGCTTTTAAGAACACCAGGTGACCCCTTAGGAAGACCTGGCTCCTGGTTCAGGGGTGACGGGCTCCCTGATGGAGTTCCCTGTAGGAGTGGGGAACCTATAGTGAGGGTGCCGACTGCTTCCTGTTCAGCACCGCTAAGGGTTTTGAAATATACTCAGAGCTGAGAGTGGATTTCATGTTCTTTATTCAGCTCATAGTGGTGAGGAGGGAATGAAAGTCCCCACAGAGTATCTGCTTTATATACATTATTTACACAATGGGTTGCACATGATTGGCTAATTGCGGAATTCTCCTGTAGGCCAATCAGGTTGTGGATTCACTTTCATCTGGAGCCGGATTGGATGGCTCCTGCAGACCAATCATACTGCTGCATTGCTCTAGGACCAATCAGACTGCTGCATTCTGAATCCTATTGTTCTAGGACCAATCAGACTGCTGCATTTTGGATCCTATTCAACTCAGTACATAACAGGTTTGCAGGATTTGAACCCTACTCTCCCAGATCCAAGTCCAGCACTCTAACCACTGAGCCACCCTTGTCTTTCTACTGCCTCGAGGTGGAGGAGTAGGCTCCTACCCAGACCTGGCCCTGCTGTGCATCGGGCAGAAGGAACCCACTTCAGGATGGCACCATGATCAAGACGGTAGATGATGGCAGGATCTTATGTCTGATCGATTCAGCTGGACTTCTTAAAGCGGTGGCAATTTAAGGCTTTGCTTCAGGCACCATAATGTCTTGGGCTGACCCCTACAAGTCCCACCAGCCAATCCCTGCTGTGGGTAAGGGTGTCACCTTTTAAATCAGCCCTGCTCCTCTTTAAAATCATAGAATTGTAGAGTTGGAAGGACCACAAGGGTCGGGTAGTCCAATCTCCTTCAGTGCAGGAATCTTTTGCCCAGCGTGGGACTCGAACCCGCAACCCTGAGATTAAGAGTCTCATACTCTCCCGACTGCCTTTAGCAGAGGTAAGTCAGGCAGATCTCTAGATGGTGAGGCCTTTCCTGCCAAGGAGCTCAGCGGTCTCCAAAGCTGAGGGCTAAATGCCTGTTAAGTTGTGGATCACTCCTTCACTTGTGTGATGGATAAGTGTGGATAGGTCATGTCACTTACACGCCACCTTCTAAGTGCCTGATAAGTTGTGGTTTAGTCCTTCCCTCTGTGTGGACAGGTGCCAGTCACTTAAGTGATGGATAAGTGTGGATAAGCAACATCACTTTGCGGAGAAGTGATATTGCATACATTTCGCCAGCAAAGTGCCTGCTAAGTTGCGGTTTACTCCTTCTCTCGATTAAGGCGACGCCGGTTATGACATCATTTGCGACTTCATTGTGTGCATAAATGACATCACATGTGTTTCACCTACTAAATGCTTTTTAAATTGTGGTTTTCTCTTTGCCTCAATCCATCTAAGTGGATAAATAACATCGTGTAGTTCAGTCACTAGGATTTGGTTGCATCTAGGTGGAGTGAGAAGTTTCTTTTTCTTTCTTTCTTTCTTTCTGGAGAGATGTTAAGGTTCTTGTCTAGCTTCCTGATTGGTATAACCTCTTAGCTTTCAAAGGCACCCCTAATTTCCCAATCCTTCTAAAATTTTATGGGAGGGGGGTTATTGCTTTATTTTGCTTTTGTTTGTTTATTTGTTTATTTCTTTTGTGCTTTTATCTTGTATTTTTATCTTATGAACCACCCTGAGATCTTTGGAGGATATTATTATTATTATTATTATTATTATTATTATTATTACTATTATTATTTACCAATTCCATATGGTCATGACTGCACCAACCTTTCCAGCACCAAACACACATAAACCATTGAAAGGCAGACATACATTCAGGAATCATGCCTGGAGCCCTAACTGACCAATCAGTGTTTGTTTATTTATATTCCGTGGAATCTGTATACTTCACAAAATATGCATTAAAAATTAAGCCAGAAGTTCAAAGCAAACTGGCTCCAAAAAGCAAATTGAAAATAGAAATAAAACCAGCAATACACACATTATAAAATAAACTTGCACCTTAAAATACATGCCAGCTTTACATGTCTAGGTAAGCAGTACAGCAAAGGTCAATGGGCAAGGAGTTGCAGAGTGCAACTGCTTACAAATCGTGTCCTCCCTAAAAGAGGGCACGTGTTGCAGTGAGACCTGGAGACTGACCTCCTGGTTGTGGGTGGGTCTATTGGATAGCCACAACACCCGATTGGTAGGTCCCTTGTTGTTGAGTTTAATCTGGTCAATGGGGTGCAGTCTAAACGGATTGAGGCACCTATATATACCTATGCACATGACCCAGAACTTCCTCTTTCGGCTCATGCATCAGAACACCTACCCACCTCTCCCTACTTTTAGGGCATTTTGCGATTGACCTTGCTATGCCGTCATGTGTCATCTATCATTGGGACAGGGGCACGGCAGGAATTTTCCCCACTTGGCTGATTGGCTGTTGCCATTTGGGTTTCGCCTGCCGCGTAGTAAATCGTCACAACTTGTAAGGTTGCGGATAAGCTCTGGTTCAGTTGATAGGGATGGGAGAACGGTCTCGCCATCTCTATGTGAAGAGTATTCCGTTAAAGGAATCCAGGGACTCAACTTGGTTTGGTCAACCCCCGAGAGAGGGTTTTGCCTGTGCCTGAGCCCAGGGGAGCATCTGGGGAGTGAACAGAGTCTGTTCCAGGACTTTTCACCTACCTCAGGTGTTCACCCTTGGCGGACCTATGCTGAAACCCTGCTTCAGCGCTACCTGCATGGCAGGGAGCTAGTTGAACCAGAGCCTATGCAACTACTCACTTTTCCGTAATCAATAAAGTCATGGCCTAAATTCTGCCAAAAACCAAAACTAAAATTTGAGTCAAATGTGTGTTTATTTAGCGGGGAGGTCTCTGGGTCTGAACACGCCATACAAAGACATGTATATCCGCAGTACAGGTTTAAATGGTGAAAACGGAAGTTTCGTTGGCAGCGAGTGTGTGCACATCTCAAAACCCTACTGAGCATCTGAGGAATTCTTGCTGGAAACCTTGTCACTTGGGTTACTTCCACACTCACTTGGAACACCCATCCTTTTTTGAACTCGCCTTTTACAAAGAATCCAGGCATCATTGCCAGCCCATTGCATTTCAGTCTTTCTTGTGTGGTTCACCTCTCTCTTTTCAGACTCAGTGCTTTTCTGTTTAATGTGGACTAGCAAATCGCTGCTTTTCGGTGCTTCGGCACATTAAATGAGAAGCTTTCTTCTACTGGAGTCTGCCTTTAATTACTTCCTGTTCAGCACAAGTAAGCGATTACTAGTGAAATAATCCCTTAACTGACTGTTAGTTCTTGTTTTCTCCTCTCCATTGTGGTGGTGGTGAGAAGAGTGTTATTAAGCGATTGCTCTCATTCATTCCCACTCCTCCTTTTTCAAATCGAGAATTGGAGCTATTTTGCAACTACAGAAAAGAAAAATGGTGAGAGACAAGTAGCTAAATTCCCACCCGCCCCCCTCAAAGGGAGCAAGAGATAAGTAAATTAAAGTTTGGCTAAGGACCCCTGGCCATGATGAACAGGAAACAATTAAAGGCAGGTTGCAATTAAAGATGATGAGGACGTTTGCTTAAACAGAAAGTACTTCTGCAGAAAGGTTTCAGTAGGATCGTGGCCGGAGAATGAGCATTACTAGAAAATATAACGATAAATTAAGCGCAGTGTGGAACCATCATTTTAATTCCGTTTCTGGCTAATTGTGGGAAAGCAATGCTTTAGCAGCATTAAAAGCAGCTCGTGGGGAAGTAATATTTGTAAGGTAGAAACTGCCCCCCATCGCAATGCCGCCATCCCCAGTTTCTTACACACAAGTGGTTACTGTTGTCCCATGATGCAATAATAATACTATAATAATATTTTTTTATTTATACCCCGCCCATCTGGCTTGGTTTTCCCAGCCACTCTGGGCAGCTCTCAACAGAATATTAAAAACACAATCAAACATTAAAAACTTCCCTGATGTCTTCTAAATTCAGATAGTTGGTTCTTTCCTTGACCTCTGATGGAAGGGTGCCACTACTGAGAAGGCCCTCTGTCTGGTTCCCTGCAACCTCTTTTATTGCAGTGAGGGGACTGCCAGAAGGCCCTTGGAGGTGGACGTCAGTGTCAGAGCTGGAGCAATAAGGGTGGAGACGCTCCTTCAGGTATACTTGGCCAAGGCCATTTGGGCTTTAAAGGTCAGCACCAACACTTTGAATTGTGCTCAGAAACGTACTGGGAGCCAATGTAGGTCTTTCAAGACCGGTGTTATATGGTCTCAGCGGCCACTCCCAGTCACCAGTCTAGCTGCCGCATCCTGGATTAATTGTAGTTTCCGGGTCACCTTCAAAGGTAGCCCCACGTAGAGCACATTGCTGTAGTCCAAGCGGGAGATAACCAGAGCATGCACCACTCTGGTGACATAGTCCACAAGCAGGTAGGGTCTCAGCCTATGTACCAGATGGAGCTGATAGACAGCCGACCTGGACACAGAATTGACCTGCACCTCCATGGACAGCTGTGAGTCCAAAATGACTCCCAGACGGTGCACCTGGTCCTTCAGGGGCACAGTTACCCCATTCAGGACCAAGGAGGCCTACACACCTGCCCGCTTCCTGTCCCCCAAAAACAGTACTTCTGCAAGCCAATGCTGTTAGGTATCGATGTGGATCAGGGATGATCATGTGACTCTTCCCTCACCTCTGTCCACATGATAAGCATCCTACCCAGAAGTAGACTGTCGACTAGGTGAATAGACACTCTTGATTGCTGGCTAGCGCAACCTTAAAGTGGTGATATTCACACATACATTCCCCAACAGCTAGGGAGTACACCATGGTGCCTTACTACCTGTGATCCAGCCCCATTTGCACAAATCTGCATACATTTGCATATGTTAACTTATATGGAGGTTTAAAAATAATTACTAGAACTTCATGGAAGGCAAGCCAATTAATGCCATATCCAAAATCAAATACCCCAATAAATTTTTCAATTAATTTGCACCCAACCCTGATCACTCAGATCAGTTCAATTAATTTTCCTCCATTACCTCTAATTAATTTCCCACCCAGATGATCCAGTTCCTGCTGCAAAATCATTTTCTCTTCCGGTACCCCCATTCATTAACCATCAAATTATTGCCATCCCACATCTTCAAAAAAAATTAATTAATTAAGTTAAAAATAAGGTACACCTCATGATTCTTTTCAGGTGCTGGAGGGAGGAGGAATTTTTTACTGAGGAATAAAATTTGCCAGCAATGGTATCTCTTCTTTAAAAAGAAAGAAAGTATTTAGGGTACCTCCAGAATACCAGTATCTCACAAAAGAAATTCAAACACGTCAGAAAGTGTAGATAACTTTAAATGAACATTATATAAATTCATGGATGAAAGGGCTATCCATGGCTACTAGCTCTACTCTGGCTCCATGGTTGGGGCAGTAATCACAGACTTGTAGAGGTGGAAGGGATCCCCAGGGTCATCTAGTCCAACCCCCTGCAATGCAGGAATCTCAACTAAGGCACCCATGACAGAAGGTCATCCAATCTCTGCTTTAAAAGCTTTTCTGGGGTTTTTTTCTACTTATGGTCCTTTGTTCTCCCATATAACTGAAGAGCTACTGTGCTTTTCTTTGGAGGATAGTCAAAGGCACTACATTTGAGGGGCAAAGTTGCACAGAGCCCCAAACGTGGCCTGTTTCGTATTTAAAACCTCTGCATCGTCCTTTCTTTTTCTTTTTAAAAAAGATTTTATTTATACTTTTCAAGTTTATACATTTCATTAGTTTTCCAATCAATTTAACATTTCAAAGTTTGACTTCCTTCCCCTTCTTTCTGCAGTTCCTTAAATGTATTTTTTTAATATCTTCTGCATATCCAAATTGATTTAATTTGCTCCTTTAATTATCTACAGTGGTACCTCTGGTTGTAAATGGGATCCGTTCCGGAGGCCCGTTCGCAACATGAAA